CTGTCTTTAGACATATATAAAGCCTTTGATTCTCTATCCTGGGAATATTCTGCGGTTTGTGCTGTCTCGTTATTGGGGTTTTGGGGATTCTATTCTTTCTTGGATTCAGGCCTTGTATTCTTCTCCTTCGGCCTCCGTCAAATACGCTGGGTATTTTTCAGATCCCTTTCCTATTGGGCGAGGGACGAGACAGGGTTGCCCACCCCCCCCTGTCCCCAGCGCTCTTTGTCCTGGCGCTTGAGCCGTTGGCTTTGGCGCTTCGGACCGATTGCAATGTATCGGGGGTTCTCTTACGCGGGACAGGAATTCAAACTGAACCTTTTTGCGGATGATGCCCTCCTGACTCTTACAAACCCCCTGACGACGCTTCCTAATTTGCAACAGGTTCTTGAGCGCTTCTCCTTGATTTCGGGTCTCCGTATCAACTTGGATAAGACTGTCGCCCTCAAATATTACTTTGGCTTCAGATTTGGTTTCGCGCCTACAATCCCACTTCCCTATTACAAATGGGCTTTCCTCTTCTCTTGAATGTTGCTTAAAACCTTAGGCATTTGCTTGACCCCCACTTATGACTCCATTGTTTGCTGCGAATTACTATCCATTGCTTAGCTCTCTATCCCTCTTATGCATTCTTGGCAATTTCCGCACCTGTCTTGGATAGGACGGGTTAATTCGGTGAAAATGACCATCTTGCCGAAATTGTTGTATTATTTTCGCACACTCCCGGTGCGGGTTCCCCCTCATTTTCTTCGGTTGCTTCAGGCGAAGTTTAATGCGTTTTATCTGGGCCGATAAGCACCCCAGAGTATCCAAAAAGTACGCTTTTTGCCCATAGACTTCAGGGTGGTCTTGGGGTGCCTAATGTGACTAAGTATTATCAAGCAAGTCAGATTGCCCCGCTGTCTATGTTGCACGCCTCTTCCCCGACGTCCCCCTCTGGGTCCTGTTGGAACTACCTAATTGTGCCCTATCGCACTATCGACGCTTCTATGGCTTCCCCTGCCCTGCGCCTATGGCACTGAGTCCGATGTTACTTCATGGCCTACAAGTTTGGGACTCGGTGCGTTACTCTGGTGGTCTGATGTCACCTTTTTCTGCCTTTGCTCCCTATTATTAACAACCCTCTTTTCCCGCCGGGTTTGGATCACCAGGGGCGTTTATCTTGGTGGGTGACTAATGGTTTTTTCGCAGGTGCGACATACAAGATTGGAGGTCTTTTTGATTTTTCGGTCCTTTCCCACCTGGGACTCTCTTCGGGAATCCCGGAATATCCCCCCGGCGGAATTTTTTCGATATCTTCAATTGCGACACTGGCTGCTCTCGCTGCGGGGTACTTCTGCGTTCCCGTACCAGAAATCTGCCTTTGAACAGCTCTGCCAACTGCGTCCCGGGCGCTCCGGGGCCTTATATCCCTTCTTTATGCAGCTCTGAACAGACGCTCGTCGCATACTTCTCTTTCATATGTTGTTCCAGTGGGAGCGCGGACCTGGGAGTGGCTGTGGATCCGGAGGACTGGAATAATGGCCTGGTCACTCATAGCTAAATGCTCATTAATACGACCACACTGGAGGCAGCCTATAAGGTATTGTTTCGTTGGGTACTGGGTTCGGGCTCGGCTGGCCCGGGCTAACCCTGCCTGTAGTGATCAAGTTTTTGGGGTTGTGGTCATCGTGGTGATGTATTACATATCTGGTGGTCATGGCCCGAGACTGTTTCGTTTTTGGTCTCGTGTATTTGGCCTCCTTTTCAAAAAACCTTGTTCCATCTCTCCATACGGCCGCGGATGCTCGGTATGCCTTGCTTCATTGCCCCATACCGGGCCTCTTAGCTCACAGCAAGAAGTTGGCTTCCTATCTTTTTTTATCCGGCCACTAGAACAATTGCTCAGGCCTGGAAGAGTCCGTTTGTCCCTCTTCAGGGGGTGCGGGATCGTTATGACCACTATGATGCTCAACGAACAGATGTCAAGTATCTGCAAACGACTCCCAACGTAAATTTTTGAAAATATGGGAGCCGTGGTTGCAATATTGCCCTTCCCTCACTCCCCCGGCTAGTCTGGGGATGTAATGGCGTTCGGTGTTGGCGCTCTTGAATCCCCAGCTCTTTGCCCCCACCCGTCTTTTTTTTTTTTTTTCCTTTCTTTCTCTCTTTTCTTTTTTTCTCTCTCTCTCTCTGTTTTTGGTGTGACTGGGCAGCTGCATTTAGTTGTTTATAAACCAGTTACATTACTGTTTTGTAACTTATGTGCCATTGATAGCCCCTGCGTGGGCGTACCTTTTGCCTGTTGGCATTAGAGCATTGTTTTTACTTTTTTTTTTATTTTGCATATTGTTTATTCTGTGCAATTGATAGCCCCTGCGTGGGCGTGTTTTATTGCCTCTGTTTATACTGTTTAAAAATTTAATAAAAACCATTGAAATGAAAAAGCCTAAGTGTGACATTAAAAAAAAAACAAACAAAAAAAAACTGACAATTGGCACCAAATAGATAATAGTTAAAAAATTAGATTTCACTATTTGACCGCAGCAATAGAAGTGTGCAGCTGCACGCCAAGAGGGTGATGGCGCAAGACGTTACACGTTCTACTATACTCCAAATAAACAATATGCCGCTGCAACAATAGTTTATATGACATGCTGAGCCAATGTAACACGTGTGCAACTCAATTCTCATTCCTGAGCATCTTAGTTTATCTAAGCTCAAGGTTGGGAGTCACCTGCCAGGTATGGGATATATTTGTATGTTCATATTTCAAAAGACACCAAGGATTGCACACGTCATTCTAGGAACCGTTACATCTGATAAGAGATGACGGTAGAGTTTAGAGTTTATTAGAATATTATGAAATAGGTCGTGTCATGGGGCAGATGCTCCATATGAAGGCTGTTAACCACTTACCATTCGGCCGCTGTATAAGGAAACGGCCAGACGGTGGCAGTGCTGGGTCAGGTGGCAGTTTTATAAACGGCTTCCCGCACCCTGTTTGTGCGCGCGTGGTCCCAGGGAGTGATTGCATCAACCAGCCGCAATCTGGTGCCCGCTGTGTCCTCCAGACACAGTGAACACTAAACGTCGGACGCGGACTTCTGTGTGAGGTCCCGATCATGTGATCACTGATTGGCCAATCAGTGATCACATGCAGAGTAGTGAGCAAGATGTACACTTCTGACATCATTGCTTACTACGTGTGAAATCTGTGAATGATCACGAGGTCACATGGTACAAGGCTATTCACAGCAGTCCTTGTACCATGTGACAAGACAGTGCGACCAATCACAGCTCTCAGTATTTCTCAATGTCTGCAAGAATGGCAGACCAGAGAGAAGGGAGAACTATGATTGCTTTCACAGCCTTTATGGGTGTTAAAAGCATCAGTGGTAAAAAAAAAAAAAAATCTTCATCACCCTCACACCAGTAGCACAGTGTCACCATGGTGACACTGTACTGCTAGGGTGACGGTATGTAAAAAAAAAAACCCCATAAAATAATATTATAAAAAAATAAAATAAAAAATGTAAACAAATTTTTTAAAAAATTATACTTTTTTTTGGTTATAAACTAATTTGGGTTTTATTTTATTTCTTCTAAAAAGATAACTGAAAATAAATGTCTGCAAGAATGCAGCCAGAGAGAAGGAGAAATGATTGCTTTCACAGCCTTTATGGGTGTAAAAGCAATCCGTGTTAAAAAAAAAAAAATCTTCATCACCCCCACAAGTAGTACAAGTGTCATGGTGACACTGTACTGCTAGGGTGAAAAGTATGTAAAAAAAAAAAAAAAAAAAAAAATAATATAAAAAAAAAAAATTAAAATGTAAAAAAACATTTTTTTTTAAATTATACTTTTTGGTTATAAACTAATTTGGGTTATTTTATTTCTATACTGAAAAGATAACTTGAATAAATTTTGATCAAGATTTATGTTAAAATATTATTTATTTGCAAAATTTTATAAGAGAAAACTTTTTTTTCAAAATTTTTGGACTTTTTCATTTATTTAGTCAAAATAAAAATAAAAAATCAGCGGTGAATAAATACCCACCAAAGTAAAGCTTTATCTGTCTCAAAAATAAATGCTAAAAAATTCATATGGGTACAGTGCTGCATGACCGCGCAATTGTCATTCAAAGTGTGTGATAAGCGCTGAAAGCTGGAAATGATGGCCTGTGATGACAGAAGGGGGTAAGAGTGTCCGGACTGGAAGTGGTTAATCAAAGGTCCAAAATATTCAAAATTGTAATTCTGAATATTTTGCAGCCTTTTGTTATTTTTTTTAAACAGCCATTCATCATGGAGCATCAGTCCTTTGACAACCATTTCATAATATTGTACACTCTTACCGTCATCCCCTTGCCAAATGTACCGGTTCCTAGAAAGATTGCCCCAATACTTGAAAAGCTCATCTAATTTACACCCATTTACTGTAGAAACTATGTGTTATATTGTAAGTTATTTTTCAATCCCGTATCTAAAGACCATTGTCACTGAAGGTGCAGTATCTGCGAACTCTGGTTATTAAGACAACACAAATATATTAAAAAAGCATTTACTAATTCCCTTACTTTTCCAGCAGAACAGGCGGTCGGGTCATCAAAAACGATCCTCCTCCAGTACCAGATCATAATGATTAGGATGCACGGTGACAGGAAATGTCTTCATAGCAAACCACACTGGTAAAGCCTCCATTCTGGAAACTCGTCTGCATTGGAAAAAAATGAAAGAAAAAAAAAAAGAAAAGAAAAATCAGAGGCCAAACAAGCATGTACCGGAGCAGAGCGGTGGTCTATGGGTGGAGTACGGCACAATCTAGCAGCTACCAGGGCAATTATAAAGATAACCTGTTGACTAGCCTAGGACAGCAGTGCTGCAATTATATAGGATAGCAGGGGGGCTAGTGTCACGTGCCCCCCCATACCTACTTGTAATTAACGAGAAGGGATCTCTGGATCGATATGGGGCTCAGGTTAGTATAGGGGGAGCTTGCAGCTTCACAGCCGGGTGCCCACTGCGCATGCGTGAGAAGCGCTGCGCGCATTTGTGAATGGCCCCCGTAGTCGTTGTGGGATCACGTGACAGGTCGCACAAGACTACGAGGAGGGAAGTGGGAGGACAACTCCGCAGAAGTGGGAGCGGGTATCTCCTGTCAAATTTGGGAACCACGCCCCCTCCTCAATAGGTCCGCAGTCTCTGGTCAGCTATCCTCTTACTACGTCCCGCAGTCTCTGGTCATCTCCTGTACTGTGTCCGCAGCAGTCGCTGGTCATCTCCTCTACTACGTCCGCAGTCTCTGGTCATCTCCTCTACCCACGTCCGCAGTCTACTGGTCATCTCCTCTACTATACGTCCGCAGTCTCTGGTCATCTCCTCTACTACGTCCGGCAGTCTCTGGTCAATTCTCCTCTACTACGTCAGCCGCAGTCTCTTGGTCATCTCCTCTACTACGTCCGCAGGTCTCTGGTCATATCCTCTACTACGTCCGCAGTCTCTGGTCAATCCTCTCTAGCTACGTCCGCAGTCTCTGGTCATCTCCTGTACTGTGTCCTTGCAGTCTCTGGTCATCTCTCTATCTACGTCCGCAGTCTCTTGTCATCTCCTGTACTTTGTCCGCAATCTCTGTCATCTCTGTACTGTGTCTGCAGTCTCTTGTCATCCCCTGTCTGTGTCTGCAGTCTCTGGTCATCTCCTTTACTGTGTCTGCAGTCTCTGGTCATCTCCTGCACTAGTCCAGTCTCTGGTCATTCCTGTACTACGTCCAGTCTCTGGGTCATCTCCTGTACTGTGTCCGCTCAGTCTCTGGTCATCTCCTGTACTGTGTCCGCAGTCTCTGGGTCATCTCCTGTACTGTGTCTGCAGTCTTGGTCATCTCCCTGTACAGTGTCTGCAGTCTCCCTGGTCCATCCTGCCTGCTACTGTGTCCGCAGTCTCCTTGGTCATCTCCTGTACTGTGTCTGCAGTCTCTGGTCCTCCTCCCCTCTAAAATCTACTTACGGCTTACTTTGTGATATAGCAAGGAGGCAGAACCCTAGAGTATATTAAAGTGTTTTTACAAAACAAGAATGCTGAACGTACAAACTACTTCTGCAAGGTATACAGAGTATTACAAATATGCATACAACGCACAGGCACACGCTATCTAACCTTCTTAGCAATCATTGACAGAGGTTTGTATGCTGATAGGGATACTCTGTATGTCTTCTATTTTTTCCTACAATTGTAAGTAGTTTGTATGTAAAGCATTCTGCTTCCTTGCTTTCCTACAAAGCAACCTAGAACATACAAGCAAATCAATTGGGGGCTTGTCCGGGATTTGTTCTAAAGTTTAGTTGAAACCAAACTGTTTTCTATAGTGTTTTCTGTGGCTTGCACTAAAAAAAAAAAAAAATCTACACAAACTGTTTAGGAAAATCAAAACCACTAATTTAAAAAAGGTTCTCATTTCTGTAGGTAGGCTGTATTATTGAGAAAATGGGCATTGGTCAATGGTCAGCCATCATGTTATCTCAGATGATTACTGACTGACTTCACAAGTTCCTAAAGCACAGGCTGCCAAACTTGGGCTAATCCTGCAAGATGATAAATATCACGGGGTCCGTCGGCCACCTATAATAACCAGCTGGTCAGAGTACACAGCAGCTTTATGCTGCATTTACCATTTATTGCATCTTTTACGCATGGGGATTGACCTATTTCAGTACCAAAAGTGTGTTTATATTTTAATATTTTAACTTTCAATAAACTAATTCTCTCTATGATCAAACTACTACACTATGGGTACTATTTTTTGCTCCACATCAAGCATTTAACCCCCTAGGACCCCCAGGTGACCATCCCAGGGCCCAGAGGAGAGCTGTACTTAGCAGACCCCGTCCATAGCCAAGCCTTAAAGGGGACCTCTAGAAGTACCATCATCATTATCCACTGAAGAGTTATCCATTCCATGCTACATCCTACCCAGGACTGAGGGGACCTCTGATACATTTGATGTAAATACACATTTACATTGCGCCTCTGGTGAGTGTGCAATCTATCCATTATTCCTTCACGACACCGGATCACGTGTCACTGGAATTAAGTCACCTTTTTTCAGTCTATTTGTGTCTCCACCACCCTCATCACTTATTGGACTTTCAATAGTACTGCTTACCACAGATTTAGTGAATATTGGTTGTATAATAATACCTCACAGCTGATAAGGACACTACTTGCCACCATTTATACACCTTATTATATGTAATATTGGTTACTCTGACATTCTGACCGTTTATATGTATTTTAGTACAGGTGTTTTTCAAATTTTATGATTTTTTATAGTGCTGCACTACATATTTTATGATTATTTTGGAAGGTTGTATGATTCCCTTTTTTAGTGTACTAGCTGCTTTTCTCTTGTAAGCACCCGCTGAACCCTGCTTGCTTTTGATCCTGCAAAAATGGCCATCTATTGTACTTGCTATGGTGACCCAATCTTATCATTTTTAAAAAAACAAAAAGGCCTACTACGAGGGCAAATGCAAATCATCAGTAGGTTTCAGGGTGGATAAAAATCAATGATTTTTAAAAAAAAATTAAAAAAAAAATCGGATTTTTTTTAATTTAAATTGGATTTTTGTTATTTAAATCGGAGTTATTTTTTTTTTTTTAAATAAAATGCTTTTTGAGGAAAATATATTACCATCCAAAGGTTATTCCATCATGAAATAAAGATTATTTTTTTAATTATGTAGAATAAGGCTGTATATGTTTAATTTTTTTGGTAAATAAATTCCATGAATCCATTCACAATGTCATGCTCTTCCAGAGGTTTTTGTAAGATTATTGGGCAGTTTCTCTGCCTACAAGATATTATCACAGATGTTGGTTTACTTTTGCAGTTCTCAAACCTGAATTTGGCTCAGCGGAGATCACATGCCTCTTCTTCACAGCAAAAATGTTATAACATGAACAGAGTTAAGAAAAAGACCTTCATCCTAACTTCTACAAACCTATGAATACAGAATCAACCCCTTCAGTGCTAAGTTTCAAGAAGTTCAGTGAATAGAATAGAAACAATATTTTTCTGATTGTTTGGAGTGGAATAGATCTGCACAAGAAGAAAGTGAAACTAAGTGTGAGGAGGAAGGGGCTGACAGTCTAAGTTTCCTAAAATATATATATTTTGTTTAGCCAAATTAGTTACCAAACATGGATGTTTAAGCAAATCACATATGCTGGAATGTTATTGTTTCAGATGAATAAATCTATTTAAATTGTTATTATTAGGTAATGATTATTTTTCTCCTTCCTAAGTACAACAGAAAAGTTGTCCAAATATGAATGATTAACCTATTAAACTGGGGATAAAAAAAACTAATATGAAAAGTTATTCTAAAAATCTTCATCTACTTGTATATTAAAGTTATACCAGCAAGAATTAGTCTTTATGTAGAAAACTAGGATTTATATCAAGCCTTACTGACTAGTGATTTAAATCAGTTTGATTTAAATCAAATCCACCCTGGTAGGTTTACACATTTACAACAGAATATTCAAAGTCTTGCAGTCCAGCTGTGACAGGTTCTCTTTAAGGTGTACCCATCCTCCATGTAGAGTGGATGCAGCCACTGCCAATATTTCAAACTATCCATCTATCAGTTTGCTAGGAGCCAATGACATTGCTGTATTCCGATTTCTGTCAAAGGCTCCCTTTGAACAAGCAGGAAAAAAAGATTAACCCACAAAAGGTCTACTTGGGTAACAGGTACACTTCGAGATCATGGTAGAATGGATTACATATTAGAAACCAATTTGGTCTCCTATTTCACTTGCGAGTATGCGTTTGTTCTTTAGTAAATGGCATAAGAAACAATTGAGTCCATTCAGCATTAAAGTCAACAGCTCTAGACAAACATTCTCCGGCGCAGCAAAGGTCATCAGTAAGTCAGGCCTCAGCCTCTGAAATGAATAGGCTCTGCTGGGCTGGCAGCATCAGAAATGATGAGTCAGACCACTTGTAGGAGATTACAGGCTCAAAGAAAATGGAAATTTAAGTCAGTGAAGTGGAGGTCTGAAACCAGGGCCCCCGTGATTGCTCAGTGGCAAAACAATCCCTACCAGCACATGGAGAAAATGTAAAAAGTTGGCCAATGCCTTAAGGTCAGCTAGATCTAGACCTCGGGTATCAAACTGTTGGCCCTCCAGCTGTTGTCCCATGAGGCATTGCAAGATTGACAGTTACGAGCATGACTACCAAAGGCATGATGGGACTTGTAGTTTTGCAACAGCTGGAGGGCCACCAGTTTGACACCCGTGATCTAGACAGATTTTTAAATCTATAGTGGCATCAGACATGTCCACCCCTCAAGGAAAAAGACTGAAAAACAGGTAAGGTGGGATGGTGAGGTGTCTTCCTACACTCCCTCCACCTCCCTACCAGGGGCGGACTGAAAACTCATAGGGTCCCCAGGCAGTAGGGGATCAGGGGGCCCCTGTGTCCTTGCCCAAACTCAAAAAAGCCTATGATAAAGGTACCAGGGGCATCTCATGGGGCCCCCTACTGACCTCGGGCAGTGCCCGAGTTTCCAAATGGTCAGTCCGCCCCTGCTCCCTACACAATTCCCCATCTGTAAACTCAGTACAGGTTTTCTTACCTAATCTTAAGGCTGTAGCAGGCACCCAAAGTACCTACAAAACTTGCTCCTAAAAACCTAATCTTAACCCCTTCACGCCTAAGGGTAACAACAAATCTAAACGCCTAAGCACAATTTCGCAACTTTGACCTGTGTTAGTAAAAACCGTACATATCATCACAACTACTTTGTACATCCGGGTGAATTATACCGCGGTTTTTTTCAGGACAAATTGGGCTTTCATTCGGTGGTAAATGTAATGGATATCTGCTGATTTTTTTTTTTTATCAAAGGAAAACTGGCCAAAATTAGTAAAAAATAAATCATATTTTTTATTTAGCTGTGTTTCTTGTTACTACCATAACCTACCACAAAAGAAAACCCAAAATAAATTTTTTAGCTCGACAATCACAGCGATTCCATATAGGTTTTATTTTATATTCTATTTGTTGTTTGTACCCGTAGTACGGCCCAGAAACAATAGTGCGCATTTTGTTCTTTGTTTTTGTTTTTTTACCTAACAGACACTGATATCAATTTACAAAAAATCCTGACCTTTGACCCTGACCTAGACCCAAACACTTACCCTGGCACTGAGCTAGATCAAACCTTGATCTACGTATTTTATCTTTATTTTTTAATATTTATCTTTCTTTCTTTTTTGCTTTTAACAAACTTTTTTTTTCTCTATGCCAGGAGTTAGAGAGATACAATGTATCTCTCTCCTCCATTCATAGAGAAAAAAAAAAACAAGGGGGCCGGGTTGTACAGTGACTGATCACTGTGATAGCCAATCAGAGGCTATCACAGCGATCATGTGACCTGGAATCGAAGTCCCAGGTTCCGACCGTTAGAATGGGACCCAGGGCTCTCAGTGACACCCCGGTCTTTGTGCTGGGATCGCGCCACACGGTACCCAAATGTGCGGCCCCACGGAAAAAAAGCCCAGTTCCGTGAGGTCGCATATTTGTGTGACGTCA